CCTATGGGGCTGTCGTCTGGTGGCCGAAATCCCAGCAGACGATAGCTAGACAAAACCTCAGCCAAGTACAAAGGGTTGCCTGTCTGAGCATAACTGGAGTTATGCTTACAACACCTACCATAGCAATGGAGGTAATGCTGTGTCTGCCACCTCTGGATATTTATCTAAGAGAAATGGCTATGATAACTATGCTTCGCCTCAAGAACGTTGGTTTAAAACCGGATGTAGGATGTGGAGAAGTTAGAAGTCGCCTGTGGAATGAGGTTGTCAGGAAGACGCCCCTTCTGCAGGCAGACACTGACAGTATTTCTCCCCGGTTTGAATTTGACAAACCCTACACCGTACTCACAAAGAGACAGGAGGAGACCGCTAATGGAGATGTAATCAGCGTCTTCAGACGGATCAAAAAGGAAGGAGGGTGCAGGATGTGGAATATACTCTAGATCCCTGCACATCCGATATCAGTGGACAATGGATGCTACCGTTGTACAAATGGAGTTAGCAGGCTAAGGAAATTGTCCGCAGGCATACTACGGGAAAAACAATCAGAATCTACACGGATAGTAGACAAGCACTACTGACCTTGTGCAATCATAAGATAATGACTAGGACAGTATGGGAATGCCATGAAGCAGTGGTTGTGGCCTCGGCCGCTAACAGCATATCTGTAAGCTGGGTAAGGGACACGAGCGGTGCTTTGGCAATAAAGAAGCTGACAAGCTAGCCAGGAGCGCATCGGGCCTCAACATTTTTGGATCCCGTCCCTCCAGTGTGCTTCTGTTGTCGGCATTTGCTGGAATTATTAAGGAAGACATCCACAAAGAATTCATGAAACGGTGGGATGAAACGATTAGCTGTTACTTCCCTAAGGAGCTCTTAGTGTATCCTAGCAAAGACACAGCCAAAAAATACCTGGCCATGTCTAGGTCAAATCTTCGCCTGGTGACAGGTATTCAAACTGGACACTGTTGGCTAAGGAAACACCTTTACAATATGGGGAAGTGTGAACAGGAAGAAGAGATAGTTGCCGTCTAGTCAACAAGAGAGTCCATGTGGGGAGAACGCTGGCCTTCAATGGCCTATATTAGAGAGATCCCCCTGAGCAACGTCACCACCTTTTTCACTGTAACAGGCTGGCTGGCAGCTCAGGTGGATTGATCTCTCTAATGGGAGGAAGTACAAGAGGTCCAATGGGGCCTAAGTGCTGTAGCTTTGCTACCCTCCCCACAACTCCAGAACTCCAGAATATCTATTATGATCCAAAATCGTATATCTAATTACTGTGTGGGACTTTGCTACTTGGTATCTCGAAAACTGTCCAATTTTGGACTTTGTGCCCATTGACACTTATTATCAGGAGGATATCAAGTACAAAATATAAAAAATTCAGACAAATCCATCGGAACCTGAAATCCACAAGGTTTGCGCGGTGCTTTTAGTAGATACTTTTTCATTCGTAAGGAATTTGAAAGACTTAATTTTCATATGGACTTGCAATTTTAATAATATAAGCACTTTTACAATCTTCTGTCGTGCATTTATAGTTTAGTGTACCTGACAGGCTCACACATATTTGTCCGAAATTTTATAAGAATAACTTTAAATTACAATATTTTATTATAGATAAGATTATATTGCCTTTGTTAGGTACATTATCTTCCAGTCATTCACCCATGGGCGTAGCCAGAAATTTTCCTAGGGGGGGATCGAGGGTCAGTTTATTGAAGGAGTATGGTATGTGAAATCAGTTTCAAAAATACCAAGAGTATATGGTTAAACCGAGGAATTTAGTGCACAGGCTTTCCTACTCTACGACTAACAGCAATCAGTGGTCTAAAGTGATTAATCTGACTGTTTTATGTCCAGTAATAATAATGTAATTTTTTAAACTTGCAGCATGCAGCAAGGATTAAATATTTTGATTTAATATATTTCTTTACGTTAGTATTGTATTTAATAAATTGTTCTACTTCAAACTTTTTAATTATTAATTCAAATAACTAGACAAGATAAGATTAGGTTTTAATTTTAATGGTATCCTATCGGTCACAGATAAGTATAAAAACATATTAATAGAGAACAATAACGTCTCCCCAGAAATTAAAAAAAAAAAATTAAATATGCACCGAAACGATTGAAAATAACTAACAGAGATACCATAGTAAAAATTGAAGAGAATAATATGCACAAAATGAGTAGGTACAAGTGATGCATTTAAAATTTTGAAAAAAAAGTTTGAAATTAATAATGTAGGCACACTTATATGAAACACCATGTACAAAATAATGAATGTTTCAGTTTCAGATTTGTGTATAATAAATATATTAACAATTATAAAATATCAATGACCCCGAACAATTTTTAGAATTTATTAATGTTAAGAAAGGTTATTCTTCTATTTTGTCCATTCCAACATAAATGAAATTTAAAAAACACATCATTATCAACTTTTAAAAGCAATTATTTTTTTTACTGTATTATGCCTGCTGTATGGAAAAAAAGGAAAATACATTTTAAATAACCTCCTCCCTTCAGTCCAAACAGTCCGTGAAAGGATTGATTATAAAATTTGGTTTTGCAAAACCACAAATATATCACACTAAGGAAATAGATAACAGTTCACGAGTTGGTACACTATAATAACACACGTTAACATTTCAAATTATTTTTTTTCCTTTCCCAAAACTCAATTAAGAATTAAAAAAAAATAATGCTAGATCAGACCCATTTTTTCCTGAGAACAAATTTCGGGGTTAGAAAAAATTCTGATGCAAGGATTTTCCACAAATCACCTTCAAATGCGCGATATTTCAGATTTTTCTGCATTTTTTGGGTAACGTCATGACACTCATCAAGACGTGTGTTATGAACCGAATTCTGATTTACAAACTTTTTGACATAAGAGACTGCATATGAAAGGTTGAGATACAGATTTCCAAGCCATGGAGCAACAATTGTCAACTGACTCTCAATATAGAGCTCCATTTTCTCAATAGAACTGGATGTCTGCGAATTTCCACTTTCCGGTTCATTTCTCAACATCTTGTTTTCCTTTTTTCCAATGCCATCAATTTTTATTCGGTGATATTATTTCCGCAAACATATGACGTAGGTTATTCCCCAAGATGGTGATGGTGTCGTGGCCTTAGGGCTTGAGTCCTGGATGAATGTTGATTGATTTTCAATTCAGTCAACAATGGGACTAAGATTTATCTATGGGCAGGTTCCCAGAATACAAAACCCAGAATGGACGGTTCAAGAGGAAGAAAATCTTACATTGCAACAATTTGGTGAATGAAATAAAACGTATCGCCGCAATATACTGCCGTTTGACAAACCATAACGTGGATGGGCCTTTTAGAATACAATCTCCTAATTTTATTACTTGACTAATTGCTGGTAAAAATAGTCAACCTCTGCAAGAAATGATCAGAGTTGATTAAATGAGGTGATTTTAGATGCATTGTCCATTGATTTCTATAAATCGCATCGTAGATGGAGATTTTTAAGAAGAACGAGAAGCCAGCAAATGACATTCGCACACTTTTAGAGTTTCGGTGCCGTTTTATTAGCCTATGTTTAATATATTATCACTAGGAATATAACTATTCATGCCTAACAATTACAAGATATCTTATTTTCTTAATAAAAAACCACAGTTTCGTTTTTTAACAGTATCTCGCTTATTGTTAGAGATGAACCCAACAAACTTTATATAACTACGCTCGACAGGGAACATTCTATCCAATTTGTAAAAATATACAGGTGTTCCATTTAAATTAAGCGGCCATTTTGTTTCGACTTCAATTGTTTTTCAACTATCATTTTCGAAAAATTCATAAAAATTCGTGCAACTTTTGTATTTCACATTTTTTTATAACTTAAAACAAAAAAGTTAAAGGGGAGGTCAAAATATAGTGAATCACCCCGTACATTTAAAAGAAAATTTATCTTATAAATTTTATATCATTCATTAAATTCAAATTGTGATTAACAAATATTGTACATACATATTCATTTTTTTTTTCAGAAAATTACTAATTAAGTATGTATAACAATAAATAATTTAAATATGATTGTATTGTGGGATAAAGTTAAAAGATTATTAAAATAAAAAATTTTATCATTTATTTGTTACTTTTGGTATTTATTAGTATTAAAAAATATTGACAAATAACGAAAAATAAAATTTTTTAAATTTATATAAAAAATGTAAGTAAGTAATGTCAGACTTGACAATTAATATTAAATTTTAACATCAATTCATAACACATATATTTCAAAAAATCATACGATGTAGCCGAAAAATAAGATTATTTTGTAATTTTGTGAACTCATCGAAATAAATTAATAAACCACAAATATATTTTGTCGTCATTCAAATTCGTATTATCCGCTATTACCCTTGTTTTTAGATTACCCGAAGAATTACAAGTGAGAAGCAAAATTACCCGAAAAATTAATAATTAGCACATTGGCAGCACTGTATAAAAGTTTTATAAAACTCTTATTTTTTTCTTATATAAAAAGTTTATGATCTTTGTTTTCATATACCTAGACAATGAAATATTAAAATTAAGTTAAACCTATTTCTTTTACAAATACCATAAAGCATAATGCGACTTTTCTCCTCATCTTCTTCCATCTCATATAATTTTTAAGATCCCAAGATTCCCAAGACTCCAAAGTGGTTAATGTGTGTGACTTTAGTGTGAATAATAAATACATAAATAAAAAGATAAAGCATTTTAAATATATACATTTGCATATCTGTAAACACGTTAAATTTACTTTGTTTGAAATATAGCAATACATGGTATTGATTTCAAAGGACAAATGTTTAGCAGTATTGTTATTCTCAATAACATGTACTGTCTTGAACTCATAGAATATTTGTATACAAAGTTTCAACACACTATAACAGCAAAAAGGAATGTTAACTTACTAGGCAAAAAGTAATATTTATGATATCTTGATCCTTTCTACTAATATTGTCTTACCTAATATTTCTCGTATTGTAATACCAGGTTCAAGCACTTTTGATATGCCAAAATCGCAGAGTTTGATATCATCACAGCAGTCTTCAATGCTCAATAGTAGATTTTGTGGTTTCAAGTCTAAATGAGCAATGTTTTTATCGTGTAGGTAAGCTACACCTTCTAATATTTGTTTCATAGCTCTTCGAGCTTCCTCCTATAAATAAAATAAAAATATATAGTATTCAAAATAAACAATTATGTAGCAAATTATGAATTATTATTTTTGTTGTTTCCAAGGCTGTTTCCACATAGCAACATATGCATCCAATTTAAAATTTTAATTGTCATATAGAAGATAATATATGTCAATCCTAAAGTACCAAGACAAAAAAAAAACTTCCAAATTCAACTGGATAAATCCAGATTTGTCAGAATCTGTAGTATTTCTCGGGTACATGACTACATCAAATGATGTAAAACCAAATCCAAAGAAAAATGAAGCTGTTCAAATCTGTCCTATCCAACGTCCACATCGCGATACACCCTAATTACCCTATACTAAATGTCTCAAAAAAGAAGAAAAAGTAATTCATACGCCAGAATCTCTTAATACATGTGAACATTGCAAGACAATTTTGTGCAGTATTTTAACATTTCCTGACTAAAAAACACTTTATCATTAAAATGAGACCACAGTATAGACGTATCAGTAGGCACAGAGAGTTAATTTATGAATGAATGAAATCCGCCAGCCATATTATTTGACCTTGCCATTTTAACTTAAAATAGCATCACTCCGAAATGGGAGTGATGCTATCTTTAAACTATTGTTTCAGCCGACATTTGTAATCTGCACGAACGTACCAGGCATGCAGTGTGTGGAGAAAAAAGCGATACGTTGATACTTTGAATTTCTTGGTTCGCGCGATTTGGTCCGTACGGTCCTGTTCGCACGAATGAGACGAAATCTGTCGGGCCCTTTAACCGAAACAGAATTTGCACGACGGTGAAACCGTACCGCTTTTTTCCACACACTGTGTGTCTGGCATGTTCGTGCAGATTCGTGCGGCCCAATTCGCGCGAATTGAACGAAATCTGTGAGGCCCTTTATGCATTATGAACCCTACCAAAATAAATTACTAAGATCGAAAAAGAATTGTTCGGACGGGTTATGGGCAAATTCACGACGATAAATAAATATGATCTACGAAAAAAAAGTTAAATAAATAATTTCTGGTGTTTGAGTTACAAGCCTTCAAAGTTGTCAAAAATAAAACTTATTTAATTAATAACTTCATAATCCTTTTACCGATCGTCTTAAAAGTTGGCACATTTATTTGGACTATTATGGCGGATTATTTCCTAAAGCTTTAGTCAAATCGATATACTGGGTGATAGTTTTCTTCGGTTACCTCTCCCTTTTTGCGGTGAAAACTTTTACAGTGATCGAATTCTTTTAAAACGGGCAGCAACATTGAAAAGGTCGTTTTATTAAAAAAAAAAATTGTCTCTTGACAAAATCGCCTACAGAAAGACATTCTTGAGAAAAATGGCATTATTTGCAGATCTGTGCGTTTCGGTTTGCGTAGCAGCGTCACGGATTTAAAACTTTGAGATCAGTAGGCGATGAAAACAAGATGTTGATTGATGTGCTATCAGGTAATGTCATTGTTGTCGTGTTTCTTTAGGATTCTCATCACTACACACATGCAAATTATGAAAATTGACAACTACGTTCTTGTAAAACAAGATTCGTCGGTACAAAATAATTTTTGAAGTAAATTATTATCTACTGCGAAGCTATTCACCAACCAGGCAAAATTGTAGACGTGCGTTGGGATCTAAATTTTCAAGTTCTTGAGCAGAAGTTAAATGAAATGGCCGAAGAAGTTGCTTTTTTAAAGTTTTGTGAACATTAGTTTTACCTCGAGTTTTACATACATTTAGTTGTCTTGATACACTGCGGACACTTCATAATCTGCATAATCTTGCTGCCCGTTTTAAAAAAATACGATCACTGTAAAAGTTTTGACCGCTAAAAGGGAGAGGTAACCGGAGAAAACTACCACCCAGTATATCGATTTGACTAAAGCTTTAAGAAATAGTACGCTATAGTAGTCCAAATAAATGTAGCAAATTTTAACGCGATCGGTAAAAGAGTTATGAAGTTATTAATTAAATTAGTTTTATTTTTGACAACTTTGAAGGCCTGTAACCGAGGGGCGATCCGCCCGCTAAGGAAAAAACGTACGAAGATTACAAAATTTCTGAAATCTTTTGTAATGTATCTGCAGATTTCAATATCGATTAAAAAAAATACAAATTTCATATAAATATCAAGATTACAATATCTTTCAACCGATTACAAAACATTTCAGGAGATTTCAAAGTTATTTTAGTAGATTTCAATGATTATTTAAGATTTCAATAGGATTATTAGAAATTAAAAGAATATTTCAAAATTTCTTAATAAGTATTCAAGGAATACGGGAAGATTACAATAAGTTTTGAATGTCCATTTGAACAAAAATAATTGAATTAACTTCAACTGTCATTCATTTCATTCATTAACAGTAGTGCTTTGAATAAGAATTTCCAACATCATTTTTACGCAAAAATTGTAACATTCTGATTAAGTTTTTGTTCGAATGAACGTTAAAAACTTTTTGTCACGACAAAAATGATAACGCCATTTTGAAAGTAGGTTTAGCCCAAAATATGCCTGATACTGGAAATTCTTAATCAAAGTACTACTGTTAATGAATGAAATGAATGACATTTGAAGTTAATTCAATTATTTTTGTTCAAATGGACATTCAAAACTTATTGTAAGCTTCCCGTATTCCTTGAAAACTTATTAAGAAATTTTGAAATCTTCTTTTAATTTCTAATAATCCTATTGAAATCTACTAAAATAACTCTGATATCTCCTGAAATGTTTTGTAATCTGTTGAAAGATATTGTAATCTTGATTATTTATATGAAATTTGTAATCTTTTTTGAATTGATATTGAAATCTGCAGATACATTACAAGAGATTTCAGAAATTTTGTAATCTTCGTATGTTTTTTCCTTGGCGGGTTGCCCTTCGGAACACACCAATCACACCATATAGGTTTCTGTGGCATCCTTTGGAAAATGAGGTAGGAGGGGGCGTTGTATAACGACTACATCGACGAAATTCATTAACTGATTACACAGATTACAGCGAGGATTACAGATAAGATTACGTAGATTACAGATAGATTACATAGATTACAGATAAGATTACGTAGATTACAGATAAAATTTCATAGATTTCAATTTCAAAGAGATTCTTAGATGATTACAAAATTTCAAAAAGATAATTATTATTAAAACGTCTTAATTACACGGAGATTGCAAAAATTTCAGAAACGGTTACATAAAGATTCCAGGGCAAACGTACGAAGATTACATCGGCGGATCGCCCCTCGCCTGTAACTCTAAAACCAAGAAGTTTTCGTTTAACTTTTTTTCGTAGATCGTATTTATTTATCGTCGTGAATATGCAGTCAAACATTAACGGTGAAATTTGCGGACACCCTGTATATTTTTGGAAAAAATTTTATTAATCGAACCAACCATAAACCATAATGGTTATTTAAAATAGAAAATTAGTAAGATGGTGGCTAATATTAATCCAGATTGACTTTCTAGAATAAAAATTGACGCAAACCCTATTGACCCAATACTAATCTCCGAGTCAAAATTATTGAAGACGTTTCTATTTCAGAAATAGGTGAAGAAATCTGAGAAAGACCAACAATAAAACAAATATTTCAAAAAATTGATATAGCACAAGCACTCCCTGAAAATAACAGAATCACCATAGTATGCTGCAAATCCAAGAAATACCCTATAAAAAAAACTGTTTCAACGAATATAATTACCAAATAAGAATTGAAGAATTAAGTAATATTATTACCGACTCAACATCTGTGAATCTATTTAAAACTAAAATATGTCTTTTAGTAACATTTAGAATTACAGCATCTGATAATGATATTAAATTATTAAATTCATCAATTTCTCCAAAATTCACCTATTGTTTATGGGTACTTTAAAACACCTAAAATAGGAGATTATTCGCATTCTTCAACAACCTTTTATTAATTTAAAATGAAATATTTCTCGGAAATTATTTGAAGATGTAGAAGTCATTGAGGAACAAACTGAAAATACTTAAATACTTTCGTGAAGATAACTTAATATATATATTCATAATAGCTATTATGAATGCACTATATCAAGTAGATATAAAATAAATATATTAGTACCTACATTATTTAATATTATATCGCCATTGAGATAATAACGTTTTTGTCCTTCGTCCCATAAAATATTTTTGATTTACTAAGTGCAATTAATTTCATAAATACAGGTAAAACCTACGTTCGGTTTGAACACGGTGGGGTAATTTGTGTCTCAACCTTAAGCCATGAGAAAATCCTTACTTTCGCTTAAGTGATAAAAAATATTATTTTATAGACAAAAGATCGTTATAATAATTGCAAATATAAGTGTAATTACAATTACTTTACCTCTCCCAGGCACTGCCCGCCATCGAGTATATGTTGAAGTTCGCCGCCAGCGGCTAGTTCTAGTATTAACGCCATTTCTGTCGTGGACTCGTAGACTTCATGTAGTCGAATTACTCTGTTCGCCGTCTTACACTTCATCAACACTGCTATTTCATGCACAATTTCTTTCATTTGGTCTTGATTTCGACGTCTTTTTTTCATAAATTTGGCAGCATAAGAAGTACCAGTTTTTTTATGAACTGCGCGACACACCGTAGCGTACTTTCCCCTGAAATAAAAAAATTAATTATTATCATACAATACTTTATAACATAAACAACTATGTAATAAACATTATTATAATGTATATTTTAGGATGTTTAAAAATATTTATTTGCATATTCACCCGGAAGGTTTCCTATATTACATGAAATTAAATACTTAATAAATACATCTCTCAAGGCACCCTTGTTCCTACAAAAATTCCTTTATTCTCATAAACTATTTATTTTAAATGTAATTTATTATAAATCCAATTTGTTTCCTAAATTCCGCATATGTACTACATTTTACCTCTGTACGCGCCACTGTTGTTTACTTGTTTTTTGGAAGCGCTCTCTAATTGACTGCAAAGCTCGCCAGGTTAGTATTTGACGTACAACCGACCACTTCGTACACTCGATGCACCTGGGCGACTACAGCTACCTACTACCAGAACACAGTGCGTATGCAGCGGTATTTCAGATTTTACATTGAATTTCATTTTAAATTTGAAATGATTTATCTTACGTCTCCTAAAAATAATGACACGATTTTCCTTTGATAAAAGACCAACAACTTTTTGCTTTACTTTGCATCGAATACGATCCTACTATAGTTTTTGTAGTGACGATATAAACACAGAAACTCTTATATGGAACACCCACATTATAATTAAAAATGTGGAAAAAATTAACAAAAGGCTAAAAGGTTAATTTATTACGTTTTTCAAATTCAGTAAAGAGCGAGACATTTCCGTGAACATAATTGCAGTAGTGTCGAGATATATCTACAGAGTGAATCTTACAAGTGTACAGGGTGATTCACTATATTTTGACCCCCCCCCTTTAACTTTTTTGTTTTGAGAGATAAAAAAATGTGAAATACAAAAGTTGCACGATTTTTTATGAATTTTTCGAAAATAATAGTTGAAAAACAATTGAAATCCAAACAAAATGGCCGCTGATATTAACTTTGTTAATTTAAATGGAACACCCTGTATATTTTTACATATTTGGATAGAACGTTCCCTGTCGAGCATAGTCATATAAGGTTTGTTGGGTCCAGTCTAACAATAAGAGAGATACTATTAAAAAACGAAGGTTTTTTTATTAAGAAAGTAATACATTTTTTAATTGTTAGACCTCTTTCGGACATTTTTGCCTTTTTTCCATTTACGTAAGGATTTACAGATTTAGTTATAATATATTTTGACGTATATCGGACATTGATATGGTCCAAAATATAGTATAGGTATTTTAACTAAATATCACTAATTAGGCCGTGAGAGGCATAATTACTCATGCAATGTCATATGGTAGGTCGTGACAGTGACAGGTAGTAATGTCATGATAACATTGTTATTGATTGACAGTTTGTATTATTATTTAATTAAAATGGGTTACACAGAAGTAGAAAATTGAAATATTATTTGGAATTAAAATATAGAGTATGCAGAAGAACTTTATTTCAATTTTCTACTTCTGTATAACCCATTTTAGATGTACTTACACTAAAACTGAATTATACAAAAAATAATCAATATACTACACTAAGTGTCGTTTAGTGAATATTTTGTCTGTACTGTCACTTTTTTCTTAATAAAATCCTCGATTCTCAATTAATTTTTTTTTATCTTTACATAAATAAAACCTGCTATATCCTTTAGCATCCATACGGAATTCAAAAGTATTTTGTCATAAAAAAATTTCACACCCCACCCAGAGAAAAATCCTAAATACGCCACTGAATATATCTATTTCTCTGAAAAGAAAGTTTACATTTTTTAGAGTAGATTGAAAAAAATATATAAACTTCATTCATTTTTCTGCTTGTTATAATATTTTTAAATTTCTGAAATCATCCCTTAACTTCTAGCCACTCTAAGTCTGTTAATTTTAATAGTACAAGAAATAGTCTGTGGGCCATTTTTATGTAGAATTTTATGCTCTACAACTTTTATAAGAAATATTTTTTCTAGCTCTTACCCCTTTTGAGTTATTTTGAAAAAACCCTTTATTTTATCTTTTTTCACCCCTGGCCCGGGGCTGAAAAAAAGTTACTGGTACTTATTGCTATTATGTACCTCAAACTAACTTATATAAAAAATTCGGGGAAGTTGACCAAATTGCGATTTAAAGACCCATTTAATTGTACTATAATAGCTTGGCAGTTTCTTAAAAATGCGCGGGCCCTACATTTTGCTGCGTAGTAAAGAAAAAAAAAATGGTACCCCGAGATCAGAGGAGCCGATGCTAAGAGGTATTTTTTTTATACAATTGTATAATCTGTGGTCTTTGTAAAATTTTATAGTGGCACAGATAGGATTTCAGTCGTAGGCTTTCAGTGACATGGTTATCGAATACATTGGATTTCGAACGAGGTGTTACGTAAAAATGTAAAATACATATTTCAATGAAATCCACATCTATCCAGCGCCGGCGCCGTTGCGGTGCCGTCCGTCCATCCTGCGTGCGTTTCTCAATGTATACAAAGTACGACCGGTCGACCGGCAATAATTGTAGTGTTTTTATATCATTCTGCGTGTATTAATCATCGTATTGTTCCTAAGAGTGCGGAAATTATCGCAAGAAAAAAATTCAAAAAGTTGTAGTAATTTTATTATTTATTAGTACTGGAAAGTGAAGTACCAATGCATTTGGACAGAAAAAATTTCATAAGGTCATAAATATTCCTATCCCTTTAAAATGAAAATGTTTTGAAAATAATTGTAAATATATTTCAATTACCTGCTTGTTGTTAACTGTGAACTTGTTTTTTAATTATTTATTAGTTATGAACATATAATTCACATAAGCTTCTTGACTTTTATTTCAATCTTAATTTAAATTTAAAACCGGTTAAAGAAGGATCAGAGGATTTTTTTAAAGGTGCATATTTAAAATTATTTTTAACTCATCATTTTGACTGTTTAAATGCCAAATAACAAGACAACTTATGTTATATTTTACAGGAAATTGTTTTATTACAGACGAAACATTATTTAAAATATTTTGGTATGTTTATGTTGTAAAAGCAATACAACGTACCAACTTTTTCTTAACACAAATACAGTCAGTTTACATTTTTAATTTCTGCTATATCGTGTGGTGGTCACAAAGTATTGTCAATGATTTTGTACCAATATTTTAGGGATCATGCAATCATAAAAACACTTCAAATTCAATTAATTTTTACATTTATTTAAGCACCAGAATTCAAAGAAGTAGAAAGGAAACAATTGGGAAAAAATCAAATATGAAGGAATATTATCTTCTCGATTAACTTCAAAAAGCAAGAGAGAAGATTAAAGGCACAAAAAATTACCAACTAAACAGAAACACATAATTTTGAGAAATAACTCGACAGCATAAGAAAAAAACATTAAAAAAGTTATAAAACTTAGGCTGAAATATTAATTCTCAGAATGGAAAAGAAAAACCCAGAGAGTATATACTCTCTATCATTATAATCCATTTGTACAGAAAAGGTGATTCTCTAATTATTATTAATTCGGCATTGAGGGTTACCTAATAAAAAATAAAAAAATCTTACAGAAATCAGCTCTATAATCAACAAATCAAAATTTAAACAAAAATCGACGTAATCAAATTTAGACAAAAATCAACGTAATCAAAATTTAGACAAGAATCAAAGTATTTTACGGTATACTTACACCCAGCTTTTCTAATCAGTCTAACTAATCAGACTTAGAGTCAGACTAATCAGACTTAAAATCACTCAGTCTTTATGTTAAAGTTATTCTTTTTCAAGAATCAGTGATATCTCTTTAAACTTACATAAACTGACAAAAACCTTTATCTAACAAACTATGCAAATAAACTTTGAAAATTAACAAAAATCTGTCTTAACATCGACTAAATAGACGACTTTCAACAACCTATAGTAAGTAGGTAATAAAGTAAGTTTCTTAGAAAAAAGTATTTAAAAATAATATTCGAATTTCAAAAATACAAAAATGAAGTATATCACCAAGTAATAATAATAATGCAACAATGTCATATATCATACATATCAGAACTCTTATTATTTTACTTTCTCAAAGAGAAGAAACTTACAAATATATGGAAAATGTAATGAATGGCATAAACTGATAAGCAAATAAAACAATAATGTCAAAGTAGCATATTTGCAGAAGAGTTACTGTCCTGTTTTACAAACAAACATACAAGTGTCAATTCCTTTAACTTTCTAAAAATTATTTTATATCAAGTGATGGAAATAGCAAGACGAAAGCCTGTATACAGAGTGCAAATGCATCTTGAGCATTCAACTTTTTTACCTAACATGATTTTATATACTCGGCTTTAAACCACATACTTCTATCCTATACTGATCATTTTGCAATTGACTCGAAGCCGAAAAGTGGGGCGACGTACCAGCGTATTCATACGCATGCGTTTACTTTACGGGTTTTGATTGGTTGAAAGGAACCAAGAACGGTGAGCGCCGAGCGGTAAAAAGCCAAACCGAGCTAACCTAAAAAATATTCTCATTTTGTTTTGTGTTGTGCTAGTGCTTTGGTGAAACTGTTATGGTATAGTGTATATTTTAATAAATAAATAAATAAATGTATCTTTTGAGTTTTATTTCATAATCTGTTTAAACCTGCACTAATTCTTCTATTAATTTGTCTTGTGTTGATATTTAGTAAAAATGTTTCAAAATTATACTCGATAAGAGCCTTCCTTAAGGGCCTTTAAATAGTGTTTTCCGCAAAGACAAATAATTTCAAACATTTAATAACTGAATAATCTAAAGTTATTAAAT